ACTCCCCATGGGGCATAATCACGCTACAATCCCTTCTCCTTCATTTATCCCTTATTTTGGGATTATGGCATGCATGTACATGCGCCCAGTGTGGTTTTCAAGCCATTGGGTCCAGTCTCAAACTGGACAGCGGGCCATGAGAAATCCAGCCACCTTAACCACCAGGTCACATGCCGGTCTGAGCCAAACTGCCTAATTCAAATTCAGTTGAACAGTCTTGAAACGGCAGAAGAGCATCAGCTTTGGGAATGATCACTTAACAGTCTAACTTTTCTTTAGAGTCTTAGTTAAAATAATAGACAGACGGGGGCCGAATGTGGCACAGCAGTAAAAAGGTAAAGCTTTGTGAGGCACACCCATGTGGGAAGATTACAATCACAGAGTACACCAGCTACACACATGCCCATGACGTGAGTGGGCTGAAGGGGGAGGATCGCAGAGTCAAGACCCTATCAGGGATGCTGTATCTCTGTCTCTCTCATTCATGGAATGTATAAATGAATACACTTAATATAAAAAAGAGGTACTATTATTTAAATAAGTGAACTATTAGATAGCTGGTATATTACTTGTTAGAACTTTAGAAGTATTAATTAATAAATCATAAAGCTGAGCCCATAAATAGTATGGAAGAATGTAAGATATATTCCTAGTCTTTGATTATATAAAACCCCTTACAAAGTACTTGCGTACAAGTTGTGAAATTATACAGTGTGGGGGCCAGTAGGTAGTGTGGTGGTTGGGGCACCGGCCTCCCACATGGCCGACAATGGTTCAAGTCACGACCTGGTGGCTTGCTTTCTCTCTCTCTCCTTCTCTTTCTCTCTGTCCCTCTCTGGTCAAATATAAATAAGTAAAATAATTCTTTAAAAAAGGAAATTACATAGTATATAAAAATGATCCATCATAATTAGCCCAAATATGACAAGTAAAATTCCCTTAATAACTTATTCAATCTGATTTGCATGTGCTGAAAATTACTATATATCCTGACCTCTAATAGAACACACACACTAATGTTAATGAGCCAACTATAACAATTTCTCTTTTTAATTCCTACTGTTAGAATTAGGAGTTCAAGGGACCAGCAGTTAGCATGATGGCTATGTTGCTGGACTCCCATGTAGTCGACCACGGTTCGAGTCCCAGACCCGGCAGCTTAAACTCACGCCGGGCGCGCATGCGTGCGTGCCCAAGATTCCGAGAGGAGAATGGAGGAGAAGGGATTGCAGCGTGGTCATCCCCCCGGGGGGGTAATTTCTCGCTTTCTGTCTCTCTGTCTCTCTCTGTCTGTCTGGCAAGCGCACGCGCCCTATAGCAAAAACCTCTCAAAAAGAAAGAAGAATTAGGAGTTCAAGAACTGTACTGACTCCTTCTACATATTCACTGTGATTAACAGACAGAATATTCTTCGAAAATACAGTATTAAGGAGCCAGCAGATGGCACGGTAGTTAAGGCACTGGATTCCCACATGGCCAACCAGTTTGGGCCCTGGACC